GAATTAATAACATTATATTTAAAATGGTAGATAAAGCATTACTAAAGTTTAGATTTAGAAGCAATAAAATGCAAAATATCCTTAAAACCTTTCCTAGAGAGTCTGCCACTAAGAAAAGACTTCTTGAAGAGAAAGGTCTTTGTCTGCTTGCAGAAGTACAGCAATGATGGGGCCAGACTGGCCTCCCATGGAAAGGAGTTCCAAAGTCAGTGAAGGCCCTCTCCTATGTACTCACCAAATGCACCCGATCTTAACATTTGAGCAGGCTCATATATGGCAGCCAAGACATGGTGAAGTTACTTTTTCAGACTCTCTCTCTGTGTGCATGTGTTTGCACATGCTGTCAAGATTCCAACTCATGAGGACTCTTTTCAGGGTATTTTAGGTAGCAGATACTGAGAAGTGGTTTATCATTCCCTTCTTCTGTAGATGTCCTGGGACTGTGCAGCTTGCCTAAGGCTATATAGGCTGGCTTGTCTCACAGGAGGCACAGTGGGGAATCAGACTCCCAACCTATGATTCTGCAGCCAGGTACATAAACCACTGAGCTAATTTCTCTGCCAGTGTGTACTACTGTATACTATGAGGCTATACAAAACAATCTTTGGCTATTGGCTGCTTCCTATACTATAGACAAAGGCAAGCCTGACCTAGTATAACCAGCAGAGGGTGTCAGGACTTGCACTCAGTAGCCGCTCCATCTGTAATGCTTTGTCCTCACCTGCATAATAATACAATCCTAACATTGCTGCCTTCTGCCACAGAGATCTGTCACTCATACGATTTGCTGCCTTTCTGGATAATCCATTTTAATACTATTAAATGCACAGCTGTAACTCATTACTTACACAGTCTACATATTTCCTCTCAGGTTGTGGGAATATAGGATTGTTTGTTTAAACCTGGAAATATGTTACCATTCCAACAGTTGGTGCATTCAGTGCACTTTAAGCTGCTAACGTGATTGCCAGTAGAAGGTGACTGTGTATTATGAGTGTGTATTGGCTACTGTCTGTAATGTCCTTAACAGCACACTTGTTGTGCTGCCTCTGTTTGCACCTTGCATGCTATTTTTTAAATGTTATTTTGATTTTTTTAAAAAAATCTCCTGACATCTTCTTGAAAGATGCTTACATTCCTGCTGTGACATTAAAGAACTAGTCGTAGATTTGTTCTCCTCATAGATCATGAATGAGGAACCTATGGCCAGATATAGATGGACTATGACTCCCATCATCTCCTGACCATCAGACATGCTGCCTGGGGCTGTTGGGAGTTAGAATCCAACAACAACTGCAATATCACAGGTTCCCCACCCTGAGGTCTGTTTAGAATTATTGAGTTGGAAGGGGCCTATAAGGCCTTCGGATCCAGGCCCCTGCTCTATGCAGGAATCCAAATCAAAGCAGATCTGACAGATGGTTTCCTGCCTTATCTAGCCCATGACAAGGAGGCACAGTGAGGAATCCAGCTCCCAGCTTCTGGCCCTGCAGCCAGATACCTAAACCACTGAGTTTTGAAGTGCACAGTCTGCACAAAGAAAGCTCCACAATTGGTGCTTGAATCCATTTCTAGCTTAAATATCCCAGAGAAGGTGGGCAGGCTGCTGCCTAGACTTTGGAGAGTTGCTGCTGGGTGAAGCAAATTGGCCATCCCTTGAAGGATTTAATTTTAGATCAACCTTTAAATCAATCCTTGATGGTCCCACGGAGACCACAGACATGCAAAAATGACCACTGGTGCAACCTTGTTCCCATCCATTTTATGAGGATATCTGGGGAATTCTGGTTCAATTTGTGCAATACATTGAGACATTGGAGACCATAAGAATATATTTAGTACATAAATATTGAAGGATGTGGCTCCAGAATTTAATGAAGAGGTTATGCAAGCCAGCCATCACCAGAAAAACAAACAAACAGGAGGACAACATGAGGATGTTCAGATTGCTCCATTTCCAGTGCAGCCTGAGAAAAAGCAGTAAGTATAAAGGGAAAGAAATCAAGGATTCCTTTCCCTTTCCTCCCATTTAGATGAATGAACAAATGAATAGTTTATTATACAAGAATAATAGGGAAGAAGGCAGGCCTGTCTCACAGATATTCAAGCTATATAACACATTCAACAAAGTATGACTTTTCAGCAACATGAGTCATATTAATCATCCCAAAACTGTGCATCTGGAAGTCCCCAGATCAGTTGTTAAAATAGGTTATGTCAAGCCAAGCAATTCTATCAATATTGATGTATGCTTCAGCATTTGAATTCAACTGATTGTTTTTTCTTTAATTATGTGTGGTATCTCAGTCTGGTGTGTGATTAAGAAATTTTTATTGGGATGAATTGAGGAAGGAGGATTGCATCATAAAACATTTTGAGGTGATAACTATGTAGAAAAAAGGGGGGAGGTAGGAAGTGGTGTGTTAATTGCATGTGGAAGGGAAGGAATGCTGGTTAGGTCCATTTCAGAGAGCGTAGCATAATCAGATACAGAGTTGATACTGGCATTGCCTTTCAGCTACTTGGCTCCAAGATTTCTGTGGTAATTATTATCATCATAAGTTATTTTGAGCAATGGCTTCTAAGACCTGAGAAAAGATTGCAAGTAGTCTGCAATATTGGTGATGTGCTTCAAACAAAATGGCCCAAGAAGATAATAGTTGACGGATCGAGTGGACTTCTTGTGACTCTTTGCACTAGGCAAGAAGAGAAAGCCAACCAGCCCTGTTGGTAAGCAAGCGGGCAAAGACTGAAGCAGAGCTGAAAGCATGTTAATGTTGTAGAGAGGCAGTTGATGCAGCCTTTTTGGGTTTGTGAAACCAGACTTCAGAGAATCCCATGCTTGAGTCATGCATGGGACCAATCACGAAACAAAGCAAGCTAATCCTAGAGATGGAAGAAGCGAGTGCGGCGGAACTCAAATGCTCACATTAGTTAAGCATTCCCGTCTTCTGGTTATGGACTATATCTAATGCCTGCTTTTGGCCTGAGACTGGAAATAACACACAAAGCTGCATTGCCTTCTGCAAGAATTGTGAGACAAAGGTATCCCACCCTGGAAAGGGAAGTCTTGGTAAAGTCTTGGTACAAGGCTGCATCTGCTGCCATGTTCATTCTGTAGCATCTACTGATGCTTGCTTTATGAATACTGTATGTGTAAATAACAGAGCATGATTTATAACAAGCTCTGTACCTTTCCAGGGACCTCTCTCCATGGGAAGAATCTCTGGGTAACACTTGCAACCTGGAGTTCTCACCACCCTGAGAACTGAGGTGAGAGTGTACATTAGTTTTATATTTCACACATCTATCTGAAACAGGTACGTGCTATTCTGTTTCAACAGTAAATCTGAATGCATCTGAATGCATGACTGTGTGACTCTTTAAACTGCATCAAAGTGTTCTTAAAAACAGTGTGGCAAGAGAACCTCAATGAAAATCTCACACGAGTTGAGCCCTTGCAGTGTCATAGGAATGTGTACTTGTGATGTCATACAGGTAGGGCCTTTGTGATATTCTGTGGTGGGCTGTGGTGACATCACAGGAGGTGGGCCCATGTTTTAAAAATAGAGACACACATACAAGCAATATGACACTAATTTTTTGTAGAAGGAGAAAATGGAGTCAAGATTCTCAACATTGTTAAGTCCAGGAGGTTGCCATTTTAAATCAACCACACTTAATTTCATTTCAAAGTTCAGATTTCTATATCCCCCTTTCCATTATCAAAGCCAGGCTCAAAAAATTCTGTTGATCTGATATCTTGAAACAGCTCTTCAATATACTCACTGTACACTGCAATTTAGTCTTTAGCATCAACTACTGGAGAATTATTAATATCCTCCATAGTAGGCATTGTCATTTTCTTTTAAACCTAATTACTAGCCGTTGCTCTTTTTATGCACATTGATATTTTCTTAATTTTTGGTTTTTGCACTTTTTTGGACCAGCATTTTTCTTTGGCATCCCTACATTCATTCTGAACATTCTGCTTTTGCATTTGATTTTTTTATTTCCCTCCTTTTTAAATCTCTTCCAGTTCATCTATTATTATTTTCTATCATCCTTTTTAAAATTAGAGTTTTTAAAAATGAAATTAAGCACTGTAATTAGTAATTGCACTATCAGCTTTTAGTTGCAGATGAATTCATAAGCAGTTTGTCCAGACACATAGATTGGTACTAAATTCATTTCCAGATAACCGGGGGGAAAATCCAAGACTGATATCATTAGCCACTGAGAATATACTCAGACTTACTCTAAGGAAATACTTCCTTTCTTCTAAAAAAGAAAACGTCTTGCAATGATAAACCTATACTTGTTTTAAGTGGTGTTTATTGTGCTTTTAAAAGTAAAGACTATTGTTGTATTGTGGTTTGGGAAAGTGTGTGAAGAACATAGTATGAAACAAACAAACAAAATAATATCCTGTTTCCCCAATAATAAGACAGAGTCTTATATTAATTTTTGAAGTGGGGTTTATTGTGCTTTTAAAAGAAAAGACTATTGTATTGTGGTTTGGAAAAGTGTGTGAAGAACGTAGTATGAAACAAAAAAAATAATACCCTGTTTCCCCGAAAATAAGAAAGAGTCTTATATTAATTTTTGCTCCAAAAAAACCATCAGGGCTTATTTTCAGGGGATGCTTTATTTTTTTCATGTACAACGATCTACATTTATTCAAATACAGTCATGTCATCTTCTGGTATCTCCACAACCACAATGGTGGAGGGCAGGGTTTCACTTAACTAGGGCTTATTTTAAGGGTTAGGTCTTATTTTTGGGGAAATAAGGTGGTCATTTTATGGTTTTAACTAACGTCTCTTCCTAAAGTTCTGCAAGCTGAAAAACAAGCAATTTCTTTGTCCAAATTGTAAGGCATCCGCGGAGGCAGATTTAATTATGCCTCCACCTGACATATTAAAAAAAATGTGATGGGTTCCTTCTCTCAACCCAAACCAGACAAACAGGGGATGATTACGCTAAACTATCTCACTTACCTGTATGGCTAAGTCTTAGTTTGTATGTAAGTCTCAAGGCATGGAGTTCAAGGATTCTTCTTCCAGCAAGAAGTTGTGACCTCTGATCAGCAGCCAGATGCGCACAAGTGGGATACTGCTGTTCACAGTGAACCTTCTTTTCATTCCAGTGCCAACAAACATCCTCTTTAGGCTCCAGAAGAGCACTCCCCTTGTAAAAACAGAGGATGGACTGCCGCAACATCCCCTCCCCACTTAAAAACACAGTACTTAAAATCTCTCCTGCCACCTCATTAGCTGTTGCTTGTGTAGGGTTATTGTCCATTTTTCCTCTGGAGGGGGATCATGCTCCACAGGATCTCAAGTTTATGGTCACTGCCAGCTTCATTCTCCTAGAATGCTAATCAGAGGTATATATACAGGCACATGTGGATACACACATGCATATACACATGTACACACACAAACACACATACACCCCAATCACAACTCTTTCACTTTCCTCTAACCAGCCATTCAGCTGAAACAGTCCTGTGCTCAAAAGCATGATTAATAAAGGAAGGGCAGCTTGTCCCAATTAAATGACTGGAGTTCATTAAACAAGGCATGGATAAGACTGCCAAGAGTTTTGGATCTGGCCGCAAGCCTAGAGTTGGAGCATAAGATTCTTTGAGAGCAATGTTTGTCAAAACATTTGGAAAGAACATGACACAAGGAGCTTCCTATGCTTTTTCCTCTCTCCTCAGATCTATTCTTCCCAAGCATTTGATACTGCAAGGAAATGGGATACAAGCAGTACCAAATAATCACCACCACCATTAATCTTTTATTGTTGCTATGTTCCATCATGTCATTTGTGGCTTATAGCAACTAGAATGCAAAAGTAGGAAATAAAGCAGAATTAAACATGGCAAACTTGGCCTGGGAGTTAGAAACAAAAAAGAGCATAGAATTTATAGAATTATGTCCTGGACAACCCAGATAGTGTGGTTGCTGACCTTGAGCCAGACATCCTGGAGAGTGAAGTTAAGTGGGCCTTAGAAAGCATGGCTAACAACAAGGCCAGTGGAGGTGATGGCATACCAGTGGAACTCTTTAAAATCTTAAAAGATGATGCTGTTAAGGTGCTACACTCAATATGCCAGCAAGTTTAAAAAACTCAGCAGTGGCTAGAGGATTGGAAAAGATCAGTCTACATCCCAATCTCAAAGAAGGGCAGTGCCAAAGAATGCTCCAGCTACCATACAATTGCACTCATTTCACATGCTAGCAAGGTTATGCTCACAATCCTCCAAGGTAGGCTTCAGCAGTATGTGGACCTAGAACTCCCAGAAGTACAAGGTGGATTTCAAAGTGGCAGAGAAACTAGAGACCAAATTGCTAATATGCACTGGATGATGTCTCCCTGCATATTTAACTTGTATGCAGAATACATCATGC